AAGCTTTTAAAACAAAACAACCCCCCCACAAATTTGGAAGTAAATGTTCTCTTGTAAATTGCCTCTTACGTGAATGAGCCCCTGATGGTATGGCTGATGTGATTAGGTCCCTATGATGATCAGGTCACTGGGTGGGGGCTAGAGCCGCTTTTGTGTTGTATTGTTGAAAAGGAACCCCTAGATACTGAACCCGGCCCTTGTTGCTGCTGGCTCCACCTGGCAGAAGGGTTACACAAACATGTACACACCAATGGGTTACCATTAAATCCTAAGAGTGACAGAGTTGTCATGTCATTTCAAAGGGTCTTTCAGGGCGGATCCAGGAGGCAGCCCAGGGGATCTCTGGCTTCAGAGTTCAAACAGCCAAAAAAATAAAAAGATGGAAAATTTGCCTGTGGCTTTATTTTATTTCTTCCATTCAGCTTCCAAGCCCACATGACCAGCTTCCTGGCACATAGCATTTCCCAGGTCTGACAGGGCCATTAACAAATCATTTGTATTGCGAGGGTCCGGGATTCCCCATCTGGAGGGAGCGGGGGAGGCGTGAGGACGATTCCCAGGCCTGAGTTCACAAGCTCAGACCAAACATTTTCAGTTATAAAGTAAAACTTACATCTTTCCCTATAGCATGGAGTGCCGCCATGGCAAGTGAGATGAATGTAGGCAGCGACTCACAAGCATTTCACAGAGTCTAAACACTAAATATATTCTTGTAAAACTAATCCCTGTTTTGAGCAAAACTACCATACAGGTGTGACCTGATTTGGGCTCCAGCTGCGAGGTTGTCAGTTCTTAGTTAACACCTGCAGCCTGGGCAAGAGCTGGCATCTGGCCTGCCAGGGTCACACCCGCTGGCATTTCTATGTGATTACCAGTGTCTGCGGCAGTGGAGTGGAGGGGCTGTTCTCGGCGTGGGGTGAGGAGGGGACAGACACCCCATGAGGCTGCAGGCTCTGGGCCCCCATGGTCTCATGGATCCATAGATAGGAAAGGCAAAAGGGGGTGCTGTGATCATTCAGTCCGACACCCTTTCCCCACACCCTGGTGACACAGCCTAGGATCTTCCCACACATCAGGCCCAGAACTCCATGGCAAATAACCCAGCCTCTCCACGGGCTCCGGGGGTTCTTCCCCCAAACAGACCCCTCTTCCCCTCCCCATTGTCCCCAGCCCCATTGCTTCCAGGCAGCTCATCGGGGCAGCCTGCCAAGGCTCAGCTCATGAGGCACATTCTGAGAGGGACAGAGGGACCCACCGCCAAAGACCCTGGACATGCCTCCCCTTTCCATTGGCTGCCCCAAGCACCTGCTTCCTGCGCTGGAGCCGGCCCTGCACACGGTGAGGCCCAGGGTTCCACATGTCCAGTGGCAGGGAGTTCCACAGGACCCATTCGCAGTGCCATCATCCTACGGGAGCACGGCCAGTATGTGTGGGCATGTCTCTGGGATCCCCGGGGGGACATATCCCATGGAGGCTAGGGTGATGCATTTGCAGGGATCTGTGTGGCTGTACAGCCAAGCAGCTGTGCTCCAGCTGGAATCTTTTCACATTGGCCCCCAGCCAAAATAAGCTAGGCTGTAATGGCTGGATCCCTCCAGACAGGTCAACATCCCTAAAACGGGGTGACCTCTGCTGGCCAGGGAGCGTTTTGAGACAACATGGCTATTTGAGTACCATAACGAGAGGGCTGTGGGGTGGCAACCTCGGCCCAGTGGATCGGGACTCAGGGACCCATCTCTGCCACCAAATCAGTGTGTGATCTCAGGTAAGTCGTTTCCCAACTCTCTGTGCCTCAGTTTCCTCTCTAAAACTGTCTATGGGTTGATGTTCAGATTGAGAGTTTTTAAGGGCAGGGACTGTCCCTCTGCACAGTGCCTGGTTCAGTGGGGTGCAGATCTCAGCTGGGGTGCTAGCACAATGCCATTGACAAACGTTCATTCCTAATCCTGACTGCCACCCTGTAGGGGCCCCAAAGGGGCTGACAAACCGGCTAATCCCACAGGCATCAGAGCGAAAAGGGTGGTGCTGTTGGACGGAAACCCCTGTGGTGCCAAAGCTACACAGGATCCATGACAGGAGCAGCTGGCTGCAACAAAACACCTGGGAATAGGACCCAGGAGTACTGACCTCCCCCACCCCCAACACCTCCCTTCTCAGGACATGTGCCAGCCTCTCCCTGACAGTGAACTGGGGAAAATTCCCCCGGAGACAAGGATGTGATCACTATTCCTAGCACTTGGCGAGCCTGCGATAGACAGGTCGTCCTGCAAAGAGCTGTCAAGGTATAGAGACTCAGAGTGAGGAAGGGAAACTGAGGCACCAGGGGGCAGTTACTGGCTTAAGGTGGCCCAGGCCAGAGGCAGAACTAGGTCTCCACCTGGTGCTCTAACCACTGGACCACACTTCCCCTGCAGGAGATGAAGCTGGCAGTGCCCATGTCCTAGGGGCAATGGCTGGGTAAGAGGCCCTGCCCTGATTCCTTCCATGTCCCTTCAATTGGCAGGTTGGCCCGCCTGGCGCTGCCCCCACTGAGACTGCTGGGAGCGGTGGATGGAGTCACTTAACACCTCACACTCCAACCAGACGCAATCCTTTATACCAGCATCATGGCGGCCAGCCATCCTGATCGCCACAGTGGGCATTGGGCTGCCCGCCAACACCTTCATCATCTGGCTGACAGGATGGCGGCTGAAGCGCCGGGGCCTGTCCGTCTTCATCCTAAGCCTGGCCACCTCCGACTTCCTCTTCCTCGCCACCTCCGTCATGCAGATCATAGAGACGCTGCTGAATGAAACCTGGGTGCTGGGCACCCCCATGTGCCGCCTGCGCTACGTCCTCTCCGACTTGAGCTACCACTGCAGCCTCTTCCTGCTGGCCGCCCTCAGCGTGGACCGCTGCCTGCTGGTGCTGCTGCCCCTCTGGTACCGCTGCCACCGCCCCCTGTGGCTCTCCAGCTACATTTGCCTGGGTGCCTGGCTGGTGGCCGCCCTGCTCAGCATCAAGGGCTTCGTCTTCGCCAACGTCGTCCAGTATTCAGACGGGATGCTCGTCTGCTCCAACAACCGGGGTGAGTTCGAGGGCCCCCTGCGCCTGCTGGAGGTGCTGCTGGAGGGACTCTTCCCCTTCGTCGTCATGGTGACCACCCATGCCGCCACCTTGTCACGCACCTTCCAACGCCACACCCGGCCCCCCAGCCAGTTCTACCGCATCGTGGCCGCCACCCTGTCGGCCTATGTGCTGCTCAACCTCCCCTTCCAGATCGTCCAGCTGCTCTTCCTGGCCTCCTTGGAGCACGAGTTAAACTATCGCATCTTCCCCTTCATGGTCTACTTCAGCTACCTGATCAACCTCAACAGCAGCATCAACCCTCTCATCTACATCTTCTTCGGCTCCAACATCTGCACGGGCTGCGGCCGCCACACGACCTCCTCCCTTGCCACGGCCCTCACCGAGGAGCAAGGGAAAAGCCCTGGGGACACGCCCAGCACGTCCTTCTCAGCCTAGCCCTGCCAGCAAGACCCTGCTCTCCTCTCCCTCCATGGCCCAGCCCCTGCTCTGGCACAGCTCCAGTCACCAGTCGAGTGGTCACTGGCTCCCCTGATAGGACCTGGCCACAAGGAAGGGGGGGTCTGTGCACAATTGTAGGTTCACTAGTGCTAAGCCTTGTGTAAATGGGTGCAAGGTGGAGCTTCGTCAGGCGCAACCAGATCCAGGAAGCTACCAGGAGAAGTCACACCAGTGCCAAGGCCCAGTTTGCCCCATTTCCCCAGCCTAGGCAAGCTCCAGCGGGGACAGATCCTCAGCAGATGCAAACCAGGCCCAGCTCCATGCAGGTCAATGGCCCGGGAACACCAGGCCCTAGGCAAGGCAATGTAAACACTGACGTGGCTGCAGCTGCCAACCCACAGGTGCCAGGAGACACTGCGATGAAGGGGACTCTGCCCCTTTGGGCCTATTTGTGCTTGGC